AATGATAATCAATGTGTATTATTGAAAACGTGGAATGCTACATTGATCCTGAAAAGATGACTAATATTGTTTATGTTCGGTATATGCCTGTTTTATAATTTTGTGGTTACTTGCATGTGTTTCACTTATTGGGATAGTCGTGTGATCCTACCAGTACATTGTGGTTGTGTACTGATACTGCACTTGTTGTTCTTTGTTCAGTACAGGGCATCTTCAGGGGGCTATTGATATACCTCAGCTAGGTGACTATTGAGCGTGACCGGATTCAAGGGTGAGCTAGTTCTTTCAGGCTGTCATGGATCTCTCTTGTTTAAGTCCACTCTTTTCGGGCTCAGACTATTTGTTTAAAGTGTTTGTTTAGTTTCGGGGTTGTACCCCTTGTTCTTAGACTTGTCATTAGTAGAGTTTTGGTACAATGACTTTCAGATTCTAGGGGTTGTTCTTCCGTATTAGTTTGGTTGAGTTATTTGTTTAAACCTTTGGAGTTTATGAGAACTCCGTATTTCTTTTAGTCATTTAAACCTGCTTCTGTATCTTTAAATGCATAGTTTTTGGTTAAGTTGTTTAGTTTGGATTGTAGTAATGGTTCTCCCACCGGAGGATTAGTGTGGGTGCCAATCACGACGATCTGGATCGTCACAAAATGTATTAGTATAGAATTATAAATATATTAATTATATATTCACCATATGCATGAAAAATGTCTATAATATGTATAATGTATTGAATTCAAAATGTATTACAAGTATAATTTTTATTTATTTATTTTATTTGACGTCAAAAAAAATCTTCATATTTTAATATCTTCAAAATAAATAATTTTTAGTCTTCACCAAACATCCTTAAATATTAATATATAAGTTCCAATTTTTAAAAATTATTTATAATAATGTCAATTCAAAATCAAGTCTGAAATTAAAATAATTGAATACCTTTAAAAAAATAAAGAGAAAGAGAAAGAGAGGGAGAGAGAAGAAAAAGAAGAAGAGAAGAATGGAGGGAGAAAGAAAGAAGCACAGAAAAGGGAAAAAAGTTTGAAAAATACTTCAACTTTGACCGAAATTGTTGTTACGATACCAAACTTTATGGAGGACATTTTACCTCCTGCACTATTTAATAATGTATTTTAAAGGTATATATGTGCACACGTGGACATGTTACTATTTATAATTATGCAATATTTATGATGTCCACGTGGGCACATATAAACCTTTAAAATACACTATTAAATAGTGTAGGGGGGTAAAAGGTCATTTCCAAAGTTCGGTATCGTAACAGCAATTTCAGCCAAAGTTTGGATATATTTCAGACCTTTTTCCCCAAAAAAAAAAGAGAGACTATTAAATTAAATATGTATTTAGCTATTTCTGGTAAGAAAAATAAGGCTAATTTGTGTAAGAGTAAGATATATGCTATAACTCGTAAATAAATATTTATAATACATTATCTATGTAAATAGGCCTTTTCTCTTTGACTGATGTTTGTTTTGGGCTCGTTGGGTCTTTTTGTACAGAATTTTGAAGTTAATAAAAGAGCCTCAAACTCATATATTTAAATTTTTTAAAAAGAGTCCAAAAGTAGTTACAATTTTTTTTTAATTTGATAATTTTCTCTCAATTTTAATACTATATCAAGATTTTGATTTTTGTGGAACCATTTGTTAGGATGGAATGATTTGAAATAAATAGGACAAATGAAGCTTTTATACGTATTTTGGTTCAACAGGAAATGAATATAAAAGTTTCAATTTTTCTCAGTTGCGATCAAGTTTTTTGACATGAATTTCATGTGAAAATAAAATAATTTTTTTGAGTAAAAAATATTATTTCACTTGAAATATTCTTTGGACTTATTTTTCAAAAATATCAAATTAAATGAGGAGTCATCACATTGAAGAAGGAGAAGCTGCTGGACTAGGAAACCCTTATTGCATTTAGATTAGAAATGGTAGTATAAGGTATTAGTACTAGATGGTGGACTGACTTATCATTGGATTTTCTAACATATTTTATTTTGGGTTCGATTTGGGGCTATTTTTGTCTAATTTTGCTATGATTTTGTCTTCTTTAACCAATAAAATAAGTCTTGCGCTTAAATATAATTTTTTTAAAAGTATTAAAGGTATAAACTTTTATCGTCAATTACTATATTTTTAGAGTGTCATTCAAAAAACAATTATGAAGAAGTCGAGTATTTTTTATCCAAGATGAAATGAAAGTTAAGTATGACTAATTTCCACCTAAAATACATTGAACTTTTTTCATGTGCACTAATAAGATCATCATGTGAATTGTATTATTAATGATTTTCTTTAGATTGTTAATTAAACTAAGAAATATTAAGAAACATTAAAATTTTGAAAATTGCACTGAGAACGTTTGGGGCTTGTTTAGAAAATATACAAATCAAACAATAAATCTAAAGTGATTTCTTATGAATCAAGCAAAACAAATCTATATCTATCTATCTATATATAATTAAGAGTAAATTTTATGTATAGTAAATATAAAATTCATAATTATATGCTATGGCAATAGTTTATATAATTGCACTCCATAGCAAAATTTTAGTTTGCTATGAAGTTGTCTTTCTGTATATCACGGTATTCCTTCAATTTAATATACATTTTAATTTTTTTTTAAATTAAACAAAAAGGCGGTAATTTCGATTAGAAAGAAAGGAAAAAAATTGATGAAGTCACACACATTATGTTTCAATCGAATTTCCTTCCTTCTACGTCTTCTTCAACAGTAAGAACTCCATTGTAACTCAATTCAGAAAATCGATCAAGCTATTGACGGTACTATACAAACAATCGAGATCATATTGATTTTAGAGATAACAACAGGAGGTAATTTCATGATGAAAAAATACTCTGATTTTGTTTCTTTCTGATCGAAAATGGTGTTCAGCGTGTATTCAAAATTAGATTTCCTTTTAAACTTTCATCAATTTCAATTGAATGTAGATTTAGAGATGTATATTTTGTTCGTAATAGAGTTTAACACTTATGATTTCAAAAAGTTATTTTGAATTCTAAGAAAATTTGTGATTATCAAATTTTCTGGATGATATTGTTGATTATTTTGAATTTTTTGATCGCAGATTCACTTTTTTCACAGTCATATTTTTCTTCAGATTTGTATATTTGGTGTCGAAACTATGAATGACGATGAAAATGTATTATGATTTGTTAAGATTTTATACGTATAGGTGTTTCGATATGATTCAATCAAATATGTATAATTTGTATATGAAAATTTCTAAGAAATTTTGTGATTTGCAAATTTTCTAGATGAAATTGTTGATTATTTTGAATTTTTGATCGGAGATTCACTTTTTTACTTTTTTCACAGTAATATTTTTGTTCGGATTTGTATATTTGGTGTTGAAACTATGAATGAAGATGAAATTGTATTATGATTTGTAAAGAGTTTATACGTATAGGTGTTTTGATATGATTCGGTAAGATATGTATAATTCGTATATGAAACTGTTGACTATTTGTTTCGAATTTGTATATTTATACAGTGCAGCTTCATCCTAATTTTGGATATATGATTTTGTATATTTTTATATAATTTTGTAAATTGTATATTATACAGTGCAGGTTCATCTTTATTTTGAATATTTGATTCTGTATATTTATATATAATAGGTATATGTATATGTCAATTATTTTAGGTTTGTCAATTGTATATTTGTATAAAGCTTTAATTTGTGTATATAATCATTTATATAAGTGTATATTCAGAATATGTATATAAATGAAAAACTAAATTCGTTGTAAGTTATATACATATACATATTAGTGTTGTTGTGAGTTGTATAAGTATATGAAACTGTTGATTGTTTATTGGAATTTGAATATTTATACAGTGCAGGTTCATCTTTATTTTGAATATTTGATTCTGTATATTTATATATAATAGGTATATGTATATGTCAATTATTTTAGGTTTGTCAATTGTATATTTGTATAAAGCTTTAATTTGTGTATATAATCATTTATATAAGTATATAATGGGAATATGTATATAACTGAAAAACTAAATTCGCTATAATTTGTATAAGTATATGTTCGTTTTGTTGTTGAGATTCTCAATCATATAAATGTATATGTATATATAATTTAATTTTTTTATACAAAAATTCTAAAAATGGCTTCATTAGTTGTGTTGTTTATGCATTCTGGTAGATGAGACAGTGGCAATTGTTACGTTGATTATACAATTGAGGGGGTGATTTTTAAAGAAAGTTCATTGTATAAGGAGTTGTATAATGTTATTGCAATGCAACTCGGGGTTGATATGAATGTGATTAAGCTGAAAATTGAGTATAAGGTTGAAGAAATCAACACACTAATGTTGATTCACAACGGCATGGGTGTTAAAGTATATATCATGCTTAAAAAGAGTGCAAATGACTTCAACAAGTATCCAATTTGTATAAGCAAACTGGATAATAGTAACAATACCATTGAACTGTAAGTTCAAATCAGGAGAAATGTATGGTTAGATCTATTTGTATAGATGGTATTGCTGAATTTGAGACTAGGCAGATGTCAATTGGTGAATCGGTAGAGCCGCTTTGTGTTTTGGGGTCAGGGAGCTGCGATGGAGTCATTTCAGATCCATGTAATAAGTACGTGGAGGTTGACCAAGTGTATAAGGATGAAAGCCACTTTGAAATCTGTGATGGAAAAATATGCAATTGAAAAGAGATTTCAATATAGGACAGTGAGGTCAAATGCAATCAGGTAAATAGTTTGTACATACAAATACAAAACTGTATATTTTGTTTTAATTATTTGTATATTGATGTGTTATGCTCTATTTGCTGATGTAGTTATACGCTGGAATGTATTTCTGATGAATGTGATTGGTTAATGAAAGCATCAAATATCAACAAGTCTGGAATGTTTTAGGATCTGAGCATTTAATACAGATCATACTTGTCCTTTGAAGGATAAAGTATATTCACAAAAACATGCAACAAGCATGCTGATTGGTGGGATTGTTAAGCCTAAGCTTGTTGATCACAAGAGAAAATATACACCTTCTGATATTCGGAGTGATGTGAAAATATATCTGGGAGTTGATGTTAATTACTCGTTGGTTTGTAGGGCTAAAGAGAAGGCTTTGATTTCCTTGAGGGGCACCACTTCTGCATCTTACAACAAACTTCCTGCATACTTGTATATGATGGATATTACATATCCAGGCTCGCATATACGTCTGAAGAAAATCGACAAAAATGAGTTCTTATATCTTTTTGTTGCATTGAATTGTTTCATACAAGGCGTTGATCATTGCAGGCCTGTAATCGTTGTTGATAGAAGTCACCTAAGAGGACCGTATAATGGGACGGATGGAGAAGGTATGTTTTAGTATGTATATTTTTGATTTTATGTTAATTTGTATATAAATAAAAATGTAGGACATATTTTCCCACTAGCATATGGTATCATTGATTCGGAAAATGACGCCGCTTGGACTTGGTTCTTTGTACAACTAAGGGAGGCTTATGGGGAAAGGAGTAATATGTGTGTTGTCTCTGATAGAAATGAGAGCATTATAAAGGCAGTGACAAGAGTGTATAATAATGTGTCGCATTATGCTTGTATGTGGCATTTGTGGGATAATGTTGAAAAGAAATTTAGAAAATCCTCCAAGGAGCTAAGTCCTGTATTTTATACAATGGCAAAGACATGCAATAAACTTGAGTTTGATAGGGTACTGGATACTGTAGAAAAGGTTGATGTAGGTGTTAAAGAATATTTGAAGCTAGCTGGATATGATAAGTGGTCAAGGTGTCATGCAGAAACTCATCGGGGATGGGCTATGACGTCTAATATTGTAGAGAGTATAAATGGTGCACTAGTGTCGGCGAGGGAATTATCAATTTTTAATTTTTTGGAAGAGGTTAGACTGATGTTTGGGAGATGGAATCATGACAACAAACATGAGGCAACATGTACATTTACTCCGTTGATTGAAAATTTTCAAAATATACTGGTCGAAAATGAAGCAATGAGCACACGAATGGGGGTATGTTTTATGTATATCTAATATTGATTAATCAGTAATTAATTATTTTAAAATTGTATAAAGACAATTATGCACACAGTTAGAATTAATACATATACAATTGCATAAACTTATACATATACATAAATATGTTTGTATGAAACAGGTTGTGCCGTCGACTGAATATATACACAATGTGACTAATGATGATAGGAGTTTTGTGGTCTGTTTAAAGAATAAAACATGCAGTTGTGGAAAGTTTCAATACGAAGAAATACCATGTGAACATGCTTGGGCCGTACTGAAGCGAAAAAGTCTAGTAGCTGATGGATATTGCTCGAATTTGTACAAACCAATTACAGTTTTGAAGATTTATGAGATATCGATTTATCATTTGCCTGATGTAGCAGAATGGGTGATACCTGAATACATAATGTATGGTGAAGTTCGGCCTCTAAAATTCAAAAGACCTCCAGGAAGGCCAAAAGAGAGACCTTGTACAAAAACAACACGTGAATTGCTTGGTCTCAAAGGGAAGCATACATGTAGCACATGTGAAGTTGCAGGTCACAATAGGCGTTCATGTTGAAACAGGCCTAAAGAAGTTTAATAAGCTCTTTCGATTATATTGGAGTGTAATATTGGATTTTATAGATACTTGAATGTTATTCGCAACTGGTTTTGTGTTTAAAACTATATGAGTAGGAATGGTGATGATGTAATAAAGTTGTTATGTCCTATTAACAGTGAGCATTTTTGTTCTTCTTTTTGTATTCATGCTCTTGATATAGTATGAGTTATCATTGTCGTATATATTGTCCATCATATACAGAAATTGTATATGTATAAGTTATATTGAACATATTATTCTCTTTGTATATATGCTAGTACAAATAATTTTATGTGTATTTGTTCTATTGAAATATTTTTCTCTTTTTGAACAGAAAATGTGTATGTACACTCTATATTTATACTTTATGAACGATTGTATAAGCCTAACAATGTATATGTATACTCTCAGCATAAGATATACTCCTAGATTTATACAGTTAATGTATAAATATACGTTGTTATTTAAGTGGTTTGTATATTTATACTTTATGAACGACTGTATAAGCCTAACAATGTATATATATATATA